ATATATAATAGGTATACTGTATATAATATTATCTAGATATAAACTATTATAAAAACCTTTTTTTTTTAACCCAATTACTTACTAAGTATATATATATCTTTATAAAATATAAAAAGATAAGTATGCTATATATAAATTTTCTGAACTTTGATATAAATAATGTATTATTAATCCAAACTATCAATAAGTTCATTTATATCAAAATCCTTATCTCCGTGTATAATATCTTCACTTAAACTTGAAAATTCATCAGGTTTTAATTTAGATAATAATAATATAAAGTTTTCAACTTCTAAATTTGTTGAATTTTTATTACTAAATCATCTGGTTCCTTCAAAACTCGTTCTGTATCTTCTTCTAAAAGTTCTTCTAGAAAAGAAAATGAATCTTCTTCACTAAATAAGTCAATACCATCTTCTATAGAGTTTGCTATTTGATTAAAAATTGATAAGAAATCTTTTTGATGAAGATTTTAATCTACATAATTTAGTTCTGATTTAGCATTCTCAACTAGATATGAATGCATCTGAGTCATAATCTCTAAACATTCAATACTTAATCTAAAAAAAAATTTTTGTAGCAATAATGTAAAACTAAAATAAGAAAAAAATATTAATACATCTAGTTCGCCTTTTTCCAAAAAACCAGTTTAATATACTAAAAACTCACTCATAGGTAGCATTATGAGGAGAAACTGAATATATTTTTAAGTGCAGAGTTTTTATATGATCTTCATTTTTTTTAAGATCTATAGACATCTACCAATTAGTAACTATATTAGCAGATATGATAAATTCATCATCATAAGGTGATTCTTGATTTTTATATAAACTCATCTGAGTTTTTAAGAGATCAGCACTTATTCGACCACTACCTAATTTTTTCCATATTTCTAATACCTTTTTAAGAACATAATTTTTATATATTCCAGGCTCAAGAAAATTACTTTTTATAAAAAATAAAATAAAGTAAATACATACTTGAAAGCATATTATGCATATATTAGATTAAAAAATTTTTTAAATATTACAATAAGTTGGGTGCAAAAAAAAAACTAGGAGATACAATTCTATATCAAATTCATTCTATCGTTTATTATAGATAGCAATACAATCATGTCAAAATTGACTATTATATAAAACAGAAGTCTCCTAAATTGATATTGCTATTTTAATTAATTCAACAAATATATCTGCTAATGAGGTAGTTCTAAATTCTGTATCTTTTACAGCTCATTTTGCTAGACTAAGAATATTTCACAATTGTTTTACATCAATCCAAAATTAATGATCATTAATTATATTTTTTACAGAATTTGCATGGCTAAAAATTTGTGGTTCTTGATCTAAAACCTATAAATAAATTATTAAATTAAAGTATAGTTAGAAAAAGTATATAATCGATTATTAAAAAAAAAAAAAAACTTACTGATTTAATATTTGCTTTATTATGTAATATAGATTCAAAAGAATCCTATGATGTTGACCACCAAGTCTTTGTTGTTGATTTTAAATTTCTACCAAGAGTAAGGAAATGTATAATTTCTTCTCTAAGAGCAGCACTAGCAGAGTAAGAATTCTTAAAAAAATTTATGATTATTTGACAATTAGACAAAATCTTTTTTACATGAAGTAATTTACAAATACTGCTAGAGATAAGCTGGATATGATATGCAATACATCTTATTGGTAAAATATGTGAATATTTTTCTGTAACTTATCTTTTTGCTATCATCATTGATATTTCAGCATCAGAAACTATTGCTATAAATTTTTCAGGCCCAACATTTTCTAATACCTCTATTATTTTTTCAGCATTAAAATTTGCTGTATATGAAAACTTTGAAAAATCTCATAATGAATAGATATACTGTTTTCTTTTATTTGTTATTATAACAAAAGCATATATACTTTGTTTTAATAGACTGCACCAACTATCTACACATAAAGTTAAATTTTTAGCCTTAGATAGTTCATTTTCTACTTTTATTATAATATTTACTGCTTCTGCATCTAAAATTGATGATGCTAATATAGTATGTTTAGGTGGATCATAACCAGAGTTTAATAGCTTGGTATAATTTTCAAAAAAAGGATTATCAAAGGCTGAAAATGAAATACCTGAACATACAATCCATTTAATCAATGTTTGGTTAGCTCTTGTTTCTTTAGCTTTATCAATAGCTTCTTTTGTATCATAATAGGCATTCAAGAACAACTGAGAGTAGTCTGATTTTTTTTTTTTGGGAGTAGTAGATTTAGAAAATTTACTTTGAAGGTCTCGAAGTACTCTAATTCGAACCTCTCTAGATACTCTTCTTCTACATTTCATTGCAAGGTGAGATTTTATTTCTTGAGCTCTTCTCTGAACCCATGTATGAGGACAATATCTACAACTTGTACCTTTATGCTTTCCTAATCTATTATTTATAACATTAAACTTATCCCATATATTTGATAGAGGCCGTCTAGTATTATTTGATAATTCAGTTTGTATAGATGATTCACTTTCATTAATTAAAAAAGAGTCATTTGAGGTTTCATTGCCATTCATAATTTTATTATTTGTAATATTTTTCATTTTAGCAAGTGTTAAAAGAAAAAAAATATAAAAAAATATAAAAAAATATATATATATATATAAATATATATTTGAAAAAAAAGCTGAAATGATTCTTTAAGATGGTGCTTATAGCCAAAAACAAGTAACTCTTAGTAAGTTAATTGGGTTAAAAAAAAAAGGTTTTTATAATAGTTTATATCTAGATAATATTATATACAGTATACCTATTATATAT